AGCACCCCCCGTGGGGGGGGGGGGAGACTGTGGAGGAAGTTGCATCTGGCGGGCCCCCTCTTGCCGGCGATGGTCCTCGTCCAAACGGTGCTTGATCTCCAGCAGCGCCGCCTCCTCCCTGCCGTCCTCCTCCTCTCCGCCGTCCTGGCGACTCGGCAAAGTATCTGCCGCCAGCAGCCGCGCCCGCAGGAGTCGCCAGAGCGGGATGAGGTAGTGGGAGTCGCACCTCGCGTACACCAGCTTCTCCTCCGACAGGGGGCGTTCGCGCCAGTCGCACGACTGCGGCGGTGCGTCCAGGTGGGGGAGGCGGGGGAACTAGTTGGGTGGCAGGGTTTTCAAAAAAGCATGGCGTGGTCCAACCAGCGGTGCCATCGCCCTGGGAAAATCCCTCCCGCCGTCATGAAAAACTCAAAAGTTACATGCCTGCGCCGCATCCTGACCTGCTGGCATGCTAATGACGGTGCGTTAGCGTTTTGCAACATTCTGCAACAAGTAAGGAAGTGGGCGGCAGCATCGGCTTGGGGGGGCTTGGAAGCTCTACACGCTAAATAAATCCTGGTCTAGGATGAAAGCGAAGCGCTGCAAAGCTCGTTTGTGAGTACACCATAATCGACTTAGTAAGTCGCGAGGGAAGGGATTGCTGTACCCTTCTCGCGATAAAAGTACCTAAGGCATGAACCGCAGCAGGGGGTCTAACCCCCCCCTCCTATGTGACCCCGGTTGGGTCGTCTAGCTAGTAGAAGTGGAGGATAGGGGCCAGAGGGGCAGACGACAGAGTCCAATGATGGGAGAAAAACAACCAAAAACAAACAAACAAAACACGGCCACGGGCAAAACTGGGGGAGATTATCACCCTATACTTGGTTCCGCCGTCACAGACAAGAAGTCGGCCAGTGTTCCTCTGCAAGAACATTCTCCACAGTACTGCTGTACCTTTGTCGTTTCCGCGTGACCATGGAATACGAAGTACCGACGCTTCCTCTGATTGTGTAATTGTATCGGCGACTCAACACACCACACACATACCACACCCATAAAAAGGTATCAAGAGAGTGGACAACGAACGCCGATCGCAACCCCAAAGCCTACCCCCAGCTGCTAAAAACACGCCCACGCTCCCCTTCACCTTCATGTCCTGCTTCATGCCGGCCATGTCGTGAGGCTCCCTCACGCCCGCGTTGATCAACACCTTCTCTAGAGCGGATTGCTTTTCTCCGAGGGCGTGCACTGCTTCCTGCGCCATGGCGGACGGCGGCGCACACGAAATGGAGGGAGTATGGGCAGCAACTGCGGTTTGTGATCGGGGTCATCGTCATCGACTCGCACAACACACTGACACGAGAAAAAACGTGCATGAGTCCCCACCCCCCTCGCAAAAAATTAACATAGAGCCACTGCGGCCGGGGGGGGGGGGGGGGGGGG